TAATATACTTTCTTAACAAATGTTGAAAGGTTTTGTAAATTCACTAGAAAAAATAATAAAATATAGGATCAGCCAAAAAAAACTGTTTGAACAAAGTGTAGCATCTAACTCCAAGTATTTTTACATATATCTTTTTCTTCACCTCTGTAAAACACTCCTACCAAATTTGTGTAGCCCAACTTCGGAAACAACTGACACTTATGTAACATAGGAATAATTTTTTTTTGCAAATACTAACGTTATTTATAAAAAAAAGTTACAAAATTGTAGGCAGAATCGAAAATAAAATAAAAGTTATAAATAAGAGTTTTGCATTAAAAAAACATGTTACATTATATCCGCCACATTTTTTGAAGCACCCATTATACTCAAAAATAATATTTGAACTGTGTCTCTTAAGATTCTCTTTTTTTTGAATTCCCAAAACAAACGAGATAATTAACTTTATTTATTTCCTGATATCTCATTTTATAATATTTCGGAAGAATCAATCAGGTATCTTATTTTTATAATTATTAGATTAGAAATAAATCGGATTTAAAGGATAAGGGATATGTAAGTGTATACCATACGATAAAAAAACACGGCGTCAGAGGTGGCTTAGAAATGAATATCGATGTCATATATTTGTACGTAAACAAATAGACGCCGTTTTTTTTCGCTCATACCGTATAAGAAAACAAATTTAATAAAACAAACGCATTTATTAATATATGTATATAGATTTACATGGTATGAAAATTCGCATTATAATCTCTGAAGTCCTACCATGGTCCCACCAATGGTTGGTTAAAGTGGCGAGTACGACCACTTAGCAGTCACACCTATAATAATTTAATAAAATATGAATATAATAAACAAACTTATTTCTTTTAGATTTTTTAAAAGCGAGTTATATGTGTTAAGTGGTTTTTGATTATTTTAGACTAAATTTTTTAGACATATGATTATTTTAGACCAAATTGTCTGCCCACTCAAACGTCTTTCAAAATTATAATGTAGGAAATTCTTAATATGTTTTAATTGGGAATACTTTTAGAAAGTTTCATTTTCACCAAACAAAACTACGTATGTATAATAAATTGCAGTATAATGAACTATAATGCATGATATATACTGGTGGCGTCAAAACTAGATGTTGGGTTTTTCTCGATTATTTCAAAGAGAACTCCACATTTTATGACATAAACGTAGTTTTTTCCAACTTTGTTTTGAAAAATAATTTTTAAATCCAAATAATCGATATTTATACAGTAATGTCCTCTTTTGGAATACATAATTATTTTCAGCTGCAGCGATAAAATAAATAATATTTACTGATACGCTAAGTAAAAAAATAATTAGGAAATTATTTTAGACATCTAATTCTTAATTTTTGTCGCTGATAAATATGTAGATACATCACTTTTAACGACAAACCTACTAATAAAAATTGCGAAAAACAAATCATGTTTATTCTCAAAGAGACAATTATTGAGAACAATCCAATAACTATTAATCTGGGATATAGATCTTAACAAAACAAAAGTTGGATAAAAGATTTGTTGATTTATGATATAAAATACAGTGTTCCATTTGAAATAGCAAAGAAAAATATAATATATAGTTTTGACTCATCCTGTATATAATACAAAAAAAATAATATAAAGAAAATTTAATCATATAAATAATTTAGGAATTTAGCATATTTTTATATAATTATATGAAGAGAACATTACCTTAAATTAGTTCCAGTAAAAAACTTCCATATTACTTATTTTTAACTTAGAAAGGGCTTTAAATATATATTTTATTATATAAACAAAAAAATTTAATCCAAAAATGGTCAAAATGAACTCTATACGATTACGACATTATAGTATTTTCTGGAATGACAATTTTTTGACAAATTCACCAAGAAAAAATAAAAAATATAGCTTTTCTTTTGACAAACTATACAACTCTAAAGTAAATATGTATTTAAATCTACGAATCATCCTGTATATCTATAAAAATACCTCCCTGTCAAATTTACGCTACTTTTGCATGCAAGCATACCTATTTTACAAAAATATGATTTGAGTGAAAATATAAAATAGGAAATCTGATATGAAGCTTTATCTAAACACAGGGTTGAGTGTAGATAAACAATATTTTACGTTATTAATTAAGAAAAATTATAAAATACACAATATATCTGACAGTTCCAAAAAAGCAAAGTAAGAAATGAAACATAATTTATAGCATAAAATCAGTATTTTTTAAATTTTTAAGTCAACTGGCCATTATCGTTTAATCTATCTATCAATCTATCAAATTTAATGTTTATTATTAAACTTATCTCAGACTCTCTATGAGGAAAACTCTAAGATAAAAACTCTAAAAACCAAGAGTGATTTAAAACAAATTTATATGAATTTAGAAATAAATATGAACAGTATTTACTCACCTGTAATACAGATGCTTTTTGTTTAATTAAATATATTTCAAAATATTATCCAGCAGGTACAAAATACACATTACACATCACGTAAACACAACACATAAAACTCATAAAATAATAGTTTGTAATCCAAATATTCAAAAATACTGTTTCGTTTCTTCGTGGGGGACGAAAAAATTGATTTTTTTAATTATTTAGATATGCATTAAGGTATATTTCAACTCAACAGCTTATAAATAATTATTTTTTAAGACATAACCTAAACGAAACGAAATCAGAAGTCGAGAAAGATAAACAAAACTGCCGAATTTAGAAACGAATATGACTTTTTTTCCTTTTTTCTTGTCACAGTTGAAACAAACAAGGAAAGCTATTTTCGTAAAACATGCGTGAAACGTGCTAATAAGTAGCCCAATAGATGTGACCTCGCGCCCTTCCATTTTTCAACGATGGGCGGGTTTAACGGATTCCCCTCAAAGAAAATCGTAGGGGAATACAAAAATGCAAAACGGGCAAGGCGCCATCTAGAAGATAGGATTTTACTAAGCCCTCATTGTATATCTATTTATACATAATCAAGGATATCACCGAAATCGAAAAATCCGAAAATCCGAACAATTACTTTAAAAAAACTGAAATCTATCTCCATGACAACAATTTTTACTGTATAAAAATACTACCTTAGAATTTATCTTGTAATTACCCTAGTATTTATCTCGATTTTTTTTCTAGCCATTTTTAAAATACCTTTCAGAAGAGATTTGTTCAGATAATGTGTTGGCTCACTACCTTTTCCTGTTATCTTCCGGAGTCTGTAACTTGTAGGGGTGATATGACGCTTCTTTCCAGCACTGCATTTTTTTCCGCTAATATTTTCGAGCACTAGAGCTAGCAGAATGATCCCTCCGGTTTTCTTTTCGCGCTTCGCCGATCCGACAACGGTATCCGAAATCCGACGGGTACCCGTATCTGAGACGACCGAAAAGATCCTCGAAACCGACGCATTTACGAAACGATATGGTCAAAGGTCAAAGTCAAGTCAATAGTCGTCAGCAAGTCAGAAATACGCCGTTACGGCCTAAGAACGCTGGATTAAACTCATCGCCACTTCTGATGTAATCGGGAGATTAATATATTTAACAGAAATTGATATTTAAAATGTAATTCTAACTAACCGAAATCAACAATCTCTTACATTCAACTGTTTCCAAAGCCTACTACTCTGCTACTCGCAAACATCAGCGGACACGGGGTGCAGGCACGGCGTGAAAATGACTGCCTATCATAAGGATCATAGGCGTCGATAACAAGCATTATAAAAAATCACCCTGTACCTTTTAGTTTTTAACCCCCTGTTATTTTTTGATTAAATTAGTTTTTTAGGGTTCCGTACCAAAAGGGTAAAAACGGGAACCCTCTATTACTAAGACTTCGCTGTCCGTCCGTCCGTCCGTCCGTCTGTCACAAAGGTCTATCTTATACTGTTAACCGTTATAGCTACACAGTTGAAATGTTTACAGATAAAGTATCTATGTATGTTGCCTCTATAAGAACAAAGACTAAAAACAGTATTAAATAAATGTTTATAAATAAAAAAGTACTTTCACTAAACATTATTTTTTAAGAATTTTACATAGAATATTTCAAGTCCTCGGTGGCCGCGTGGTTAAAGCATGGTTAAAGCGTTAGGACCTATGACGCTGGAGCCGTAGTAAGGCAGGTTCGAATCCTAGTCAAGGCGACTTTTTATTTTTAATCGTTGTTTTTTAATCTTTACATATTTATTATTGATTAATACAATTTTTAGTAATGTGTTTCCTTCATTTTTGTTTTAAATTACTTATAGGCGCATTCAAAATTTCAGCTAAATCGGAAAAAAATATAGTGTTTAATGTTGTATAGATCATGAATGGTACGGAACCCTTCGTGCGCGAGTCCGACTGGCACTTGACCAATTTTCTTTAGTTGAATTGTAGTCATGTACTAGAAGACAACTGGTATTTTAAATATTATATTTAATGTCATGTTTTAGAATATATTTTTACTATGACTAATTCAACACCCTGCATTAAAACAAATGCCAAGCAGTAGAGTTAAAAAAATAAATATTTGTGTATTTATAAATAAGTTTAACATAATTAAATCATTTGTGTTCAATTATTAAGAACAATACCCTATTTTTGTCCTTTATTGTGTATCTGATGCAACACTGTGAGTCGCCGTCCGTCGCGTCGCGGCGTTCAAAAAATCAACCACGAACAGAAATTTTTACCACGATGCTGTGGACCATATACCTATAGGGGTTTTGTCACGACAATTAAATCGCCGATTATAATCGTCGCGTCAAGTTTTTTTTAGTACGATAGTCCTCGTTCAAATTTAATCGCGATTAAAAGTGAACGAAGCCTGTCGGGGTCTTAACAGTAAGTTACACCCTTGTTACACTAACACTAACAGTAGTGATACTAACGAACAGTAAATCCTACCGTTTCCAACACCCAATGGTGAGAGCCGAATTTGAAACACCTGGTATTTTATAATTCTAATTCTGTGCCACCTCCTATGTTTATTTTGACAGGCAAGATAAAAATGATATTGAATGGCAACTTTGAGACACAAGAACCGCTGCATAGGCTACAAAAGGATTTAGCATTGGGACTGGAGATCTCAAACAACTACAGACAGCCCATGCCTTTAGCTTCAAACGTCAACGAAATATTAAAGCATGCTCGAAGGCTAGGCTACGATAACCAGGATGCTTGTTGTATATATAATCGTACAAGATATTGAAATATATGAAGATTTCGAATATTGACACATTGAGTTCCGCTCAATAACGGAATTTAAGCGACGTTAGGTGATACTAGGGTTTGGACGGGTGGCGCTCTACAAAACCAGTCGCGCCGAATATGGCGGTTCGGAATAAGTGTAAGCAAAGTAGATCCAGATCCACACATCCAGATTACCCATGGCAACTAAAAAGAGACATTAAAAATTATTTATTTGATTTATTTTCTTTGCCAGTTATATTTAAGTTGACTCAAGTTTTGTGTATGTTTTATTATTAAACAGTTAAATAATTATATGTAATAATTGTTTAAGAGTAATTTTTTCTCAGTAAAAATAAGTACCACGAAATTTGTTTGTTTTTCTTTATTTTTATTATATTTAAACTAATAATAGTTTTAAATGAGTTGAGGCGTTAAGTTGCAAAACCCTCCTTATCCATTTAAAAAAAATGAATGAAATGATAATAGTGGACCCTAAAATCTACATTAACATAGTCCCAAACTGCAGGAAAAGTCAGCTCTGTCACGTTGGAACCCGCTTTATAGTAAACTTTTCGATTTTTGGCTTATTATCAACTACAAACGATGCAATTGGTTGTAGTAAATTGAATTTTTTTGTAGTACTAATAATTAGCCAGAAAAAGTAAACAATTGTGCGCAATGTAATAAAGAATAAAAATATTGTTTTAACAAATGTCTAAAAATCTTCAAAATCGTTTGTAGTTTTATGTAGTAGCAAAAAAACTCAACGAAAGTTTCTTGAAATTAGAGAATTATAGTAAAATTTGGAAATTAACATAGTTTGACATAACGTTTTTAGTTGTATACAAACTACAAACGATGCAATTGATTGTAGTAAATTCAATTTTTTTGTAGTACTAATAATTAGCCAGAAAAAGTAAACAATTTTGCGCAATGTAATAAAGAATAAAAATATTTGTTAGCTCGTGGTAATAATTTATCCGATGGACTAACAATGGACTGCTTCGATTCCCAAAGAAAAACCAACGTCGAAGGACCACTCTTTCGAGAATAAACCCACAAATTGAAATCACTACTTTATTTATTAAATTATAAATAACTCTTCACAATAACAAATATTAAAATTGATTAAAAATGTTAATGTGGGAGGAGTAATTCCAATAAATTGTGGAACAGAACTTGAAAATTTGTTAAAATAAAAATGGGAATTGGCGCTATGAAATAATGCTGCTTCCAAGAAGAATAAAGGGCTACTCATAGACAAACAGAAAAATTAAAAGACTGCCAGAAGACATACGACGCGCAGGCAAATGTTCCTGTAGCGCATCGACGCAAGTGCGGAAATACGTCCATCTAGCTATCTGTGTTTCGACACTAGTCCGTTAGTCTTAGCATATTCAGAAAGAACACGCTAACCTCCAGCGTTGCCAATTTGTGGGGAATTTCCCTAATTTTGGGGAATCCGGAGCCGATTGGGAATTTTGTGGGGATTAGCAATAGGCGGCGAAAATAAGGGGAGTTTCAACATTTTATTGCTGATTGAAAATGGCGTAAAATTTTTAGCTTTAAAAACGGAGCGGGACGATACCTATATCTTTCCCAACTTAAAAATTATAATCTGCTTTTTACTTATGCTTCCCTTTGCAAATGCTTCAGTTGAAAGAAAATTTAGTGACCTCAAATTATTTAATGACTACTAGGGAAGGGATTAAAAAACAAGGAGTCAATTTACAGTTTAATCCCTCTAATATGTATAATAAATATTGTATTTTTATTAAAATTATTTTTTTTTGTTAAAATAATCATATGGGGAATTTTTGGTGAATCTGGACATTTTTCTCCCCAAATTGGCGAGTTTAATTTAGATTTTTGGATAGTTTAGAAAATTGACATTGGCAACGCCGCTAACCTCATTTTTTTGTTTGTTGTTTGTTCAAAAACCGGCACACGGCGTAGTACAAACGCTTGATCATTTTTTAAGAAATTTTTGATTGTTAATTTTATTTTTGTGCAAATAAACAGTTGTTTTTTATTAAAAAATAGCAGACAAAGGTAAGAAAGATAATGTCCACGCAGAAGTTTTTATTTCACAGGCTATTCTTTCTAGAAATTATACCATCCAGCCCTCCTATTTAATTATTAAATGAAAGTGTGAAAGAGATATCAAGGGCTATTCTGTTAAAATATCATCCGGCCAGTCTAGGCCCTGTTGTGAACCAGAAGGTCTGCTGTCTGCTAAGTTGGATGTTGGATATAGAATGGAAGGAATATCATGGCCGAGAACAAGGCATAATTATATGTCCCGTGATGTAGGGGGGTAGGTTTGTTTCTAATAGGCAGTAAAACCAAAAATTCTACTGTGAATCTTATATTCTAGGCCTGTAAAGATAAATAATTCCTGGAGCCATCTCGAGGTATAGTACTCAAGTCGGATCGAATCAATAGATAGCACGTTGAAAAGAAATAATAGCCATCATAAAACTGTAAATATGTATATAACTAGTACAATGTAGCTATTTAACTGTAAGTACAATGTAGCTAGATATTTAGTAGAATAGGGGTATTATAAATTAATACAAAATACAATAATTGGTCATTCTTTCCATTCCCATTCAATTCTTCCCATAAAAAAAAAGGAAAATTAAAATTAAGAGTGCCCTTAACCAAAAATAGTGTAATAAATGGAGATAGTCTTTTATTTCACTGTTTTTGTTTAAGGGCACTCTTAGTTTTAATTGCCTTAAAAATAATAAGTATAATAATAATTTAGTAATAATAATAATAATTAATTTATAGTGTTTACTTCTTAAGTCGTCCAAGGCTTCCTAAAATTAAATATAATAATCAAACAAAGTCAACTGTCGCCATCATGAATAGAGCATTAAGCCAATACTTACCGCAAAGTTTATCTCTTCAGGACACATGTGATTTAATCTACTGCGCCGCTGCTGCTGTCTGTCATGTTACCGGATTGAGGATAGGAGAGATGGCGCGATCATCAAATCATAAACCTCAAATACCACCTTGGAAGAGGAGACTGGAAAATAAAATAAAAGATATTAGGGTAACTATTGGAGTACTACATACATACCTAACAAATGATAACCCGTCGAACAGAACCAAACGAATAGTAAATGATATCATCCGACAAAATAACTTGGAAGCTGGTTCCGTTCGTATCCTAAGGGAATTTATGGACAACCTGAAACAAAAAATAGCTGCATTAGGGTGTCGTTTGCGACGATACAATGAGAGTGAAAAACGGCGCAAACAAAATAAACAATTTATTACCAACCAGAAGTTGTTTCTTAGAGCACTGAGCACCCAAAAAGAAGAACCTGATAGGGCGCTTGTTAAAGCTGATGAAATGTATAACTTCTGGAATAACATCTGGGGAAATGAGCAAGAACATCAAGATGCTTACTGGATTAAAGAAGAAATACACCGCACGCAAGATTTACCGAAAATGAGGGAAATCCAGATAACAGAGAACGATATTAAACAGGCCGTTAGCTCACTAGGAAACTGGAAAGCACCCGGAATTGATAAAATCCAGGCATACTGGTGGAAGCACCTCACACATGTCCATGCAGTCTTGGCAATACAATTGACCCAAGCAATAAAAAAATCCCGCTGAAACAATACCTGCTTTTTTTCACCATGGGCATCACGCATATGATACCTAAAAATAAATTTATTGATGATCCTAAAACTTCAGGCCAATAACTTTGCCTTACCAGTCATATATATATATATATAAAATTTTCACGTCTGTATTCGAAAAATCAATATCAAAACACCTAACAAATCACCATATACTGGCAAGAGAACAAAACGGCAGCCGAAAAGGGTCTAGAGGAAGTACAGAGTGGCTTATAATTGATAATGTAATCGGAAAGCAAGCATATAAAAACCAAAGAAACATATTAGTGATGGGATCACTCGAGTGAAAAATACTCGGTCACCCGAGTATTCATATCCTCGGCATGTCTCGAGTATTTTTGTCGATCTTCGAGGATTACTCGGCACGCAACTAACATCGGGTGTGGTGTACCGTCCTCGCTGTTCGCGAGAATACAGGCGATTTACGATTTATGTTGAAACCTTTTTTGTCAATCTTCGAGGATTACTCGGCAGGCAACTTACATCGGGTGTGGCGTACCGTCCTCGCTGCTCGGGAGGATACAGGCGATTTACGGTCTATGCTGAAACCTTTTATATAGAGGATAGAGGATGATAACCGTTTAATCATTTGCTTGCATATCGCTCGCAATAATAATCGGTTTTCCTGCATTTTTGAACAGAAATACATTGCTTATTTTTGATTCGTTTTGTTTAGATGTTTAGATGGGATATAGTAATTTTAATATTTATTTAAATTATAAAGATTTTTTCTCCATACTTTTTATTTAAAGATTTATAGTTTTTTAACTATTGATATATTAATAAATTATTTTTTTTGTGTAATAATTGGAATTGAAACATTTGAAATTAATAATACGTTTGTCAGACTTTCAAAATTCCTTGCCAAAACCACAGTTGTTTATTTGGGTTAAGGCTTTTGAGGAATTTGCCAACCAGAATAATGAGAATATTCCTGTATATTTTATTTAATTTTTTTTTCGAACAGCGACAGCTGACTCGTTGTAAGCCTTAAGTAAAATTTCATTAGTTAATATTTTTTCTATTATGAGGGTCCACAAGAGAAAGAGGTTGAAAATCCGAAACAATCATCATTAATATTTTTTTTCGATTATTAGTTGCTGTGCCCAAGCAATAGACTTTTAAAACTGGAGATATGGCCCACAGAAAAAACTTAAAATATGCACAATAACACAATACTACCACAGTTTATTAGTTACTACAGTTTAATTTTTTCAGTGAAAATACGCTATTAAAAAGTAAATAAAAATGTATTTTTTATCTCAATGACCGACCGATTAAATAAATAACGAGCCCTTTTAAAAAGCCGCCCGTATTTCGTAGGATTTACTTGATTTCATTTCCATTCTGAAAGTGTGCTGAAAGGTTGCCAGATTAGTCTCAAAGTCGGAGTTAAAGAAACAAGATCAGCACAATTTAAAGCAAAACCTATGGAAATTTTATTTCCCACATGAAATTATACACAAAAATATTAAAAATTATTAAAAAAAGTGTTAAAAATAATTATTTATTTTTATTACAATATTATTCAAGTCATTCAAGTACATGGCACCAGTGTGTTAAAAACAGCAAGACAAATCACTCACACCCAGCGGCGGGTATTTATTCAGGTTTCGCTCGAGATATTATACAGAGAAAATTTTATGACCGAGGATTCCTCGGATAATCATCCGATTATTGGAATCCTCGAGGATAAATACTCGAGGATTGAAATTATCCGATTTTTCCCAACACTAAAACATATCTATCGCTTGGATCGATTACAAGAAAGCGTTCGACTCTGTACCACATTCATGGCTACTTAAAATTCTGGAGATCTACAAGATAGATACCTCAATAGTCAGAACTCTTCAGTATTTAATGCAGCAATGGCAAACATCTCTTCTCGTTACTTCCTCAAGGGACAGCTATCAAACCAAACCATTAAAAGTCCGAAGAGGGATATTCCAAGGTGATAGTTTAAGTCCATTAATGTTTTGCATGGCCATAAACCCACTAAGTTTCATGCTTAAGTCTAGCAAATATGGCTATGCGGTGAAGAGCAATCTCCAAGTAAAGATTTCCCACTTGCTTTACATGGATGATTTAAAATGTTACGCGAGCAACCCAGAACAACTTAAAGGGCAAATGGAACTTGTAGCATCCTTTAGTCAAGCTGTTCATATGGAATTCGGTATAGAAAAATGTGCATTCTTGCACTGTAAAAAAGGGAAAATCCAAGAATCTAACAAGATTATTTTAACTAACGACATAACATTCTCGCCGTTACATCTGGGTGAAACCTCAAATATCTTGGTATCCATCAAGCTCTAAAAATTGATGATGGAGTAATAAAGAAGACTGCGGAGGATGCATTTATGAAGAGGGTTTGTAAAGTCTTGGGAACAGAGCTTCATGCGAAGAATAAAATAGCTGCGATCAATGTGTGGGCAGCACCTGTAATTTTTAATACATTCGGAGTTCTAAAATGGTCACAAACCGACCTGGAGTCTCTCTGATAGGAAAGTCAGAACATCAATGACAAGGCACCGAATTGAACCACCCTCATGCTTCAAACCATTAGACTCTACATGCCAAGGGACAAAGGTGGAAGGGGAATTATTAGTCTCATTGCTATGCATGAAAAGCACATCAGAAGTCTGCAGCATTACTTTGACCAAGCAAATGACCCTCTCCTTTCAGCTATTAAGACCGCCGACAGGAATTTCACACCTTTAAACTTAGCAGGTCAAAGATTACCTGCAGGTACTAGGGGTGCTGAGGAACTAATCGAGGAGTGGAAAGGGAAAGCCTTGCATGGAAGATATCCATCCAACTTATATAACCCAGACGTTCACCGAAATCTGTCATTACGGTTTCTTAGAGATGGAGAGCTCAGAGCTGAGACCGAATGATTTATTATAGCTATACAAGACCAGCAAATACCAACTAAAAATTTCCTAAAAATAATAGCCAAAAAGGATTTACCTACTGACAGATGCCGACTATGCAATGCCTTTCCGGAAACAATTCAACACATCTGCTCTGGATGTACCTATCTTGCACCGCGATATTATCTGGACAGGCACAACCGGGTGGCTAGTATTCTACACCAAGAAATCTGTAAAAAAGAAAATATTTTAAATGAAATTACACCCTACTACCGATACTTACCTGAAAAAATAGTAGAAAACGAAAACGTAAAAGTATACTGGGATACTGACATCATCACAGATCGTACTGTGCAGCATAATAGACCTGATATAGTAGTCTTCTATTAAAAACAAAAACATGCTTACCTGCTGGATATCACAATACCACTAGACGAAAATATTAAAAATGCAAGAAAAGAGAAAAACACAAAATATGAAGCACTGGCGCAAGAACTAAAAGCTATATACGATTTGAGCAAGACTTTTATATTACCAATAATATTTACCTGTAACGGCCTAGTAGACGTAAACCTTGTTCAAAGCCTTAAAAAACTCCAACTTCACAACCTGGAAAGAATCATCTCTACCATGCAGAAGTCCACAATTCTTTCTACCTGTTCTATCGTTCGCACTGTGTTGAACCGCGATTAGGTCGTTGATAAGAATTATCCCGACTTAGTGGCTAAAACCGGCTTTAAGCTTGAAAAAAAAAAAAAAAAAAAAAAAAATTAAATCTCCCGCCCTTTCATAGTTCGTTCCTGTAGCCAAGTAGAGGGCGCCAAAAGCGCAATCTCCCAACATTTTACCACGCGATTCACCACTCTCTAAACTATTAACTTTCTCTATGGGGCTACTGATTTATAAAAATGAAATAATACTGCACAGCGTTGCCAGGTGTCGGAAATGAAATTATGGATCAATGTAGATGAAATTATCGAATTTATCACAAAATTATTGTTACGTTTTTCGTCGGTTCCGTGTGGATAGAAAGTCACAATTTATTTAAACACTATTTATTTAACACTAATTAACAAAAAAACAATAACGATAAAAGACTTATAGAACTATTTACAAACGATTTATAACTAAGAATTTATTTTGAATTTTAGCGCGTCAACTGTATATTTATAACTGCCCCTCAGGCCACGGCCGCCGGTTTTTATACCGGCAGGTAAAGAACTCTAGAATTGTCCATAGATCGTTAGGTGCGTAGAGAAGGTTTTCGAATGTTCTCGTATGTACTCGTCCATTCCAGTGGGACTCGATTCTTCTCGAACGAATGAATCATTGCGGTGTCTATGCGATGTTAAGGTCATCCGAGGGCGGGCCATATTGTGAGGTTAGGTCGAGACCACACCGGCCCGCAACACTGCCCCCAGGTGGATGACACTTCTTATGGGAGAACTGGAAATGGTTGAAAACTTGACTACAAGCGATTTTCTAGGAATCTTCTTTACCGATAAATTATTGACAAGAGTGACAGATAAAGCCTTGACGTTCTTTCAGAATTCCAGTTCATCTCTTTTTCTTTCTAAAGTGTGCGTTGAAAGGAGACAAAAACAATTTTTGGTGACCCATAATTTGTTATTCGAACACCACTTTTCTCCTTGTCGGGTCGTTGACGTTGACTTGTCGCCATTTTATTTCTTTTGTTTACACGCTGCATTTTGCTTTGCAAATTTAATACATAAATTATTTAGGCAAATATATAGGTTTTTAATAAAACTCCTCGGACTAACGTGTAGGTAAGTGTTGATAATTTTTTTTTCATCTTAACATGCTCATTGTCGTTCTCCTGATTTTAGGTGACAGAAAAGGATCATCAAATCAAATTGAATTTTATATTTTCCTTCCTATTTATCCTTCCTAAATATCAACGAGATGAGCCATCGGAAGAAAGGGACCATAGTACAAAACAGAAAGGTGATCTTTTTTCTTTCCACTTCGGATATTGAAATTATTATATACTGTAGTCGTGTTCGGCATTATGCTCTGAGAAATATAGATAAACAAAGAACAACAGATATAAAGCATCCCAGAGGAAAAGAGAGGCAATACCTGT